GAAGCACACAGCGTCTTTACGACATGGCGGCGGAAACAACAAAACTACATCGAGAATAAAAGTTACGCCTTCTTTTTTTGCGTGAACATTTGGGCGGCGTTATGTAAATCTTCCCACATAGTGAGGTAGATATGTGGGGGCGTGTTCGAACCAGCCGTTTTAGGTAGGTGTGGCTGACTCTTAACTTTTATAAAGAATATCTCTTTGGATTTGAGACTTTAGTCTTTGCAACTTTACAGATCTTCTTTATGCACCAAGAGCTTGTAACATTCCAAAGAAAAAGGAAAAAATGAAATTGAATCATATGACCCCTTTAAGAAAACTGAACGCGTTTCGTCAAGACGGTGAGAAATGTATCGCTCTGAAGACCAGACAACTCTCACATCCTCCTTTCTGAAGTTTGAGCCGATTCTGGTGGATATCAGCAACACTTCATATTTGCAAGTTAAACCGTATCCAGACACACCCTCAATGTAAACGACACTAATTCCGTAACGATCACACATCACAATAAACAAACCACTTCAATAAGATTAAGCTCTAACAATAAGACAGCTCTTTATGAGCTCAAAATGATCCCCCACAAGCAGTTCATCCCTGCTTTTCCATTTTACAACCATATTTCCTGTCCGATCCCCACAGCAGTGCTGGAGATCAGCGCGGAACACAGAAACACGCGGGCGCTTACCTGAACATAATTATTCTCACAGTAGTCCGCGACCCTCGTAAGGTTCTGATAACTCTCCACGAGAGCTCGTTTACCGGCTGGAATTTCTTCCTCTAGTAACATCTGCAGCTCTGCCATCTTACATGTCTCCACAAAGCTTCCTGCTCGTCTCTGGGATTTGATTGAGAGCTCAAGCTCAGCCCCAGTGATGTCGGAATCGTTCATTTGAGTCGAATCTTTGTAATGAATAAATCGAACCGGTTCACATAACCGGTCTGAACGATTCGTATGTCGGACTGAATCGGGTATAGCTGTCCGCGAGTTAACGACTCACTGAATCATTGAACCGAGACATCCGCGACTCGCATTGAGCCGGATTATCTACGTAGGACCGTAGTACAAGATTTTGGAGTGAACCTAGTAGCAGGAATATGACGTACAGGAAATGTGTTGACAGTTTTATTAACATGCATACGAAAAAGAGTTGTTTATAATAAAAATAGCCTAATATTAAAAGCTGCAAAACCGTGAGATGTACATTAATATTAGTAGTTAAATATTGTATTTAGATTCTTGTGAGTGTTGAAACAAAGAGTTAAATGGTAACTATACAACCGTTTTACCGCTAACTTAATCGAGAAAATACCAATAAACAAAAAATGTGTGGCTTCATTTGAATATTTAATGCAACCCCAGGATGCCAGGGACGCACGATGACGCCATTACGTACTGACGCAAAAGAATCAGAGAATTGTTTCTTTTAAACGGTTCGTTGAAATAACTGTTCAAAAGAACCGATTCTGGGAAATGAGCCCATCTCCTCCCTTTCGCCACAGCGTCACCTATCAGCGCAGCTGATACATTGTTGCGGAGTGAATGGAACGTTGGGAGTTGTAGTGTTATAATACATCCAGTAACGATGGACGGAACACATTGTTGTGTTCCATTAAGTGTCACAGTGTTGCCTCTTCGTCTATTGCACAGGAAATTATTAAGCGCATATGTTTCTTTAGACATATGCGTCAAAATAATACTAGGCACATTCAAAGTTCGCAGCCAGAGACGGTTTTTATGTCATAAACTCCCTTGGGTAAGCTTACCTCGGGGAACTACATTACCCGGAATGTTACGCGTGTAGATAAAGAATTATGGTATTTGTAGGATTTAAATGCCATTGTTGCAAGACTTAACGGCAGTGTCGTTCTCTAAAGGAACTACAATTCCCAGGAAACACCTGAAGTAGGCTTTCGTACGGTATCTGTCAGGTACGTATTCATGAGGTCGTAGTCTCCAGCACAGCAGGTAGAGCAGCAAATGGTAAAGTATCAAATGCTCGTGCTTGTTTTAACGTCGTTTCGATCGTTTCTAATGCAAGTCAATCCAGAAATATCACATTAAATAGTATGCACTGCACTTTCAGTCATGTCTTGCTTGTCCTTCAGGATTTGTAAAGAAAAAACGGATTGTTTTTGGTTTTGTTTAATTCTTTTGGAATAATAAACAGTCTCATTAACGTGTAGTTTAGGTTTACTGTAATTGCGACAGATGCAAGGAACATTATGAATGATATAATCGATTAATAGAAATGTAACTTTGCTGGTAGGTTTGATCTCGAACTTGCTGTAGCGGTTAGATTGTCATGATGGAGGGTGACAACAAACCAGTCTACGAGCAGAGGTTCAATGCTGCTGTCAGAGTGATACAAAATTTACCTTCAAACGGTGAGTAAATATGTAACAGTCATTTAGTAAACACTGTGTATTGTGTGTTATATTGCACAGCAGTGCACGCCACCCCTCACCTACTTTCTCATGATCCCTGCAGTTTCATAATCAAATAACAGATTATCACGGGTTTCCACGGTCAACGCGATTAGCCTACATTCAGCCGACTTTAAGTGCTGAAATAGCTCGTGTGCCACTAGCCCTGATCAGACTGTGTGTGCCTGGTGTGATTGGTGATAGAGCATCATGTGATTTATCATATATGACAACATGCAAGATATATTAAAGACATACTAACGGAATTTCTGTGTAGAGGGATAGTTCACCCCCCCCCCAAAAAAATGTTCCTTTGTTTACCCCCATAGTTTGTTTGTGAAACATGTCAGAAGAGTTTTTGAAGAATCATTTTTGTGATTTTTTTTATGGTGCGATATAACCTTAAAATTCTTTGAAACAGCACAAGAATGCATAAAATGTTTTTTTTTTTTTAATGTTTATTATTCCATTAATGTGGAATGAAACGTAATAGGTTCAGACAAATTCTCTAAGAATCAAAAACAAAACTTACTGGTTTAAATGACATTTTAAATAAATTAAAGTTATTAAGTTGTATATTGTATAGTCATAGGGTTTCTTCTTACATATTAAATGAATATATATATATAGAGAGAGAGAGACAGAGAGAGAGATTAAATATAATATTTAGGAAGAAATCTTAAGATTAAATAAGGTAATATAAATGCATTGAGAAATTACATAAAAAAAATATTGATGTAGCATAAGTATTGGGACAGTTGAAATTAAGGCAGATGTAAAAGATTAAAAGCTATTATTCAGTTGCAGATCTCTTGCGTGCAATCAGAGCAGTGAGTCTGCGACCCATAGACATCACCAGACTCTTGGTCTCATCCTTTGAAATGCTTTTCCCAGCCTTTAATGCAGCCAGTTCCAACTGTTGCTTGTTTTGGGGAGTTTATGCCTTTAGTCTCCTCTTCAGCTGATGAAATTCATGTTCAGTCAGACTTAAATCTGGGTATTGACTTGGGCAATCTAAGACTTTCCATTTCTTTGCCCTGATAAACTCCTTGACTGAACTGGCAGGGTGTTTTGGGTCATTGT